GCTGGTTATATGAGCTTCAGCTGGTGCTCAGGAGGTGACCTTGGACTCCCTACAGCCTGATCCACCTTTACTTTATTCTCACTCTCACTGTGGCTTACCACAACATTTTAAAAAGTTGAAGAGTGGTAAAAGAATCTTTCTTGTCTAGCATCTGTCCTGGCCTTCTAGTGGGAAGTAGTGATTTTCTCTCAAGGACAGACAGAAAACTCGCACTTAGTCAGACCCCACAAAAATTACAGTCTGTGCTCCAGACTTCTATTATCAATCCAAATACACAGAAGATTATTTCTCCATTATTTCTCTCACTTGCACCCCTATGACCATCTTCACCTGTGCTAACGCAGACTGCCAACAGTTCAAAACTCTCCAATAATTCAACGGGAAAGAGTTCAGAGAGCAACAAGAGCACTCAGAGATCTATGAAATATAACCTATGAGGAAACTGCAAAGGAATTTTTGTTTTCCTAAATGTAGAGAAGACTGAACAGAGACATGATAGCAGTCCTCAAAAATGTAAACGACTGCAGCAAAGAGGAAGGAAATAATCTCTTCTCTCCCATGTGGAGAGGATAAGAATAACAGGCTAAAATTGCAGCAGGGGCATTTTTTGATTAGATATTAGCAAAACCATTTCTAGCTGTTAGGATGGTGTTACTGAAGCACTGGGATAGGCTGCTTTGGAAATCTCCACATCTGGAACACTTTCAAAGCAGGCTGGAGCAATGTCTGTGCTAATGAGACAGGTACCACTTACCCGCTGTGCTCTTGGAGCAGGAGAAGGAATTGGTGACTCCTTAAAATCCCTTCTAGCCTTGCTTTCATATAATTTCATGATTCATTGGATAAGTACAGGATCATTTATCACCCTCTGGGAGAATTTTAGAAGTATTACTTGCATCTTTTTGTTCTTTGTCTCCAGAGCCTTCCTTAGGATTATTACTGTTCCAAACACTAGGCTATGCTCTGTGGTTCTCTCCTATAAAAGGTGAAGCTAGTCCTGCCAGCCAGGAGCTATACCCTTACCATTAATTGGAAAACAATGGGACCAATGCTTTTAAAGAAATTACAAAAAATGGGCCTTTGGCTACCTAGACACTTGCCTTCACTTTTGCAGCAGCATGCACTACAGCATTGCTGAGTTTTGCTCTTCAAAGACAACCACCAGTGAAACACAGAAGATAGGACCTGGGACAAGACTGGTTAGTGGAGTCAGTCCCTGGCTGTCACAGGCAGCCATAGCTGGTAATCCTTTTGGTAAACGCAGCAAGCTACATCTCCAATCCAGTTTGGTTGCTTGTCCTTGCTACTCTCACTGGCTGGATTCTCCAGAACATCAGCACTTAGGCAGCCAAGAACTTTCCTCTAATTTCTAACCTAGCATTTTTCTTGGCCAGTTTATTAATTAGTTCCTGTGCTAATGCTGCATTTCCATCTCCTTAGAGTTTTCCAGTTTAGTGGATTTGTAGTTGGCGTCAGTATCCCTCTTGGTTTTCACTCTGCAAGGCTAGACAAGTCAAGCTCTTTTCACATCCTCTCAGAGAATCGGGTGAATGCACCCGTGACAGATCAGTAGCACACTTCTTTCCTGATATAGTGAAGAGGTGGCCCAAAATTACAGGGTGGAGAAAGGGTGTCTCAAACCAAAGCCAAACCACTTTAGTAACACAAAATCAAGGCCTGGGAAGGGTTAAGAAGTGAAGTTGCCCGGTTATTTGCTCTATCAGAAGTGTAGTCATCCTACAGAAATTCTTGCGGTCTTGGTTATGGTTCTCTCTTGAGTATCACAACAAACCTAAGAGTGGTGGGGAAGAGCAATCCTTGCATCAGTCTTCACACAGCATGGCCTACTTTCTGCTGCCAGCAGTCTCTACTGGCTAGTGCTGAAACCCAAGAATTGCAGCTCTTCTTCCCGTGTCCCCTTTGCAGAGGCCAGCCCCGCTGGTGGCACCAGCACTGCAACGCTCTGGTTACACATTCAGCAGCAATGCTGCTTGAACCGGCTTGTCCCCACCCTTCTCCACTCCCAGCTGCTTTTTCCATTTCCCGCCGGGCGCCCTCCCTGCTGCCAGCGTAAGTGTTTGTGCAGTTATGTGCAGAACCAGGTCAGGGATCTGATCCCAGCCAAAAAAATAGCCCGCAAATGTATTTTTTTTCCAGCTGGAAGAAGTTCTTCTGTCTGGTTTCTTGGGTGGCTGCACAAGCACTTTGGCTGGCATAAGAGGATGGGGGTGGAAATAAGCAACTTTGCCATGCGTGCTCCTCCCCAGTGAATGTGGCTGATCCACAGAGCCTCCCCTCCACTCTCAGCTAGCGTGGGCTGATCTTGCAAGGAAAATCACATACTTGTTCTTCGTCATGCCCCAGATGCTCCCCACCCTCCTTTCAAAGAACACTGCTCTTTCCCCAACTGTCTCTAGTATGCATTACCAGAAAGACTCTCTAAGCAATCAACATCCATTAGAACAGCCAGGTTTTGGAGGTCTCCCACTTGTCTTGCGTTATAAAAAAGGACTGGAAGAAAGTTTGGGGGCTGGTGAGTCTAAAAGTGGTGAGTGCTGCCACTCTTGTCACACAATCCCTTTTAGAATTTGGGCTGCATTTTCTATGCCTTATTCTTTGGACCATTACAATGGTGCATTCTTGCATAATAATTAACAGTTACTAGAAAGATAGTTTGAAAAATGTGGTTCTTTGTAATTGCATTTAGTAACAAGTAAATCTTAATTATAACTGTGTTCACTGAGGCACTCCTGTCTTGGGCAGCTATTACAATTCAAGTTAAAATAAACCCACTCCCCACTCTTCTCACGTTTTTTGGCTCTGAGCTTTGCTATTAATGACACAGACAAATAATTTCCAAGAGAAATTTTATTTTTTGAAGTTTTCTCATTCTAATGTGTTTGGCTCCAGACAAAGGGAGGATTGGCTTCAAGGGAGGCCAATACAGCCATTATCGCTAATACACTTTGCAGAAAGTCTCTTTCATGTTATCGTGGGAGAAGGCACTGGGAACCTGGTTTAACTGAAGTGTCTACAAGGACACAAGGGTTACTGTAAGTTTTGACTGATTTCTGTAGGTATTCTGATGACATAGTGCAAGATTATTACTCTTTGCAATACTTCTCGGGAGAGTGTGTAAAAAAAAAAAAAAAGCCCCCAGCATAGCATTTAGATATACTAAGAAAAAATAGTTTTAAAAAGGCACGTTGTTATATATCATGCAGTCTTGTCTGAAATTTGTACACTGGTGATATTTTTTTATCTACTAAATGAAAAGATAGATACTTCATTCCTGTCTGACCACTAGAAGATATTTTGGACTTGTTTTTATGCTTATGGCACATATAAGAACTCAAAAAACTTTGGCCAGACTTCATGCGTCATTTGCTGGAAGCCTGTTCACAAAGAACCTGCACAACACGAAGTCCTTTTAACTCCCAGGAGTGCCTCAACAAACACAGCAGACACTAGCCAGTATAAATTATCTATTAATAAATGATATTTATTTATAAACTGATCAACCATAACATCTTTTTATAGACTACACTAAGTAAATCAAAACAGGTAATTATCTATATTAACAACCGTGCAACAGTATACTTACAGGGAGCTTTCAGTTAACATACAGATTCCCATCAGCAGAGCAAGTCAACAGCAGCAGCAGATGGCTGCATTTTGGGTTAAATGCTCCTTACATTAAAAAAAAACAGAAAAAGCCAACAGGTGCTGAAGACTAGTAATGAGTAGCCTCTTTCCCCTCACCTCCATTTCCCTGTAGGATTCAAACAATCACGTCAGTGATAACCACCCACAAGGTTATTAATTTTCATTCAGAAGTAGGAACCATGATGGTGGCTTTTAATTGTAGAATCAGCCTCATGGTTCCTGATGGGCTTTCAGCCTTAAGCCAAACCCTAAGAATGAAATGAGCTGTATCCTAGGCCCTGTTTTCCTGCGTGACACTAGCCCAGTCCCTAAACACATCTCACTGCTTCAGCTCATACATCTGTAAGTTTAAAAAAAAAAAAAAAAGCTGTTTGGGAGGAATGCAGACAGGCTAAATTCATCAACACTTTGAAATGAACTTGCAGTAGTAAGCACTGGTATTTTCATTGCAAAAGGAGGCCTTTTGCTGGGAAACATCAATGCAACAGGATCATCTACTGACAGACTTGTCAGCACTTTTAGTCAGGCTGGAGTACTACAACATGCATTTGGCTAAACTGTTTAAACAGAATATATTACTTAACATAAATTTTCTATGCTACTGTAACTACAGAAATTGTCCTTCAAAAGCCAAACAGGTAGTACAGAGTAGCAGAGTTTCTCTAAAATCTAGAGAATTATGCTGATTTTTCTGCCTGAGGATTCCACCTAATAATAACAACGTATTTTTCTACACTGTGACTTGAATCTGGCTTCATACATTTCCATTCCAGTGTCATTCGTAACTGCTTTTAACTTAAGCAAAAAGCAAGATTCAATTTCAGCTAAGACCAAACATATCAAATTCAACTAAAAAAAGTGTTGGGGAGGGGAAAGGAAGGGCATTTTGGCTGGGGAGAAAAACGAGAAGAAGGGACTGTAAAGAGAGTAAAGGGCAAATTTTATCTGAGATGTAACAATATCTTTGCAGCAGTAGCAGCAGCGGTTAGCTGGCACAACTTTCTGGACCTAATCTCTTCAACCATTAGTTTTTCGTCCGTATGCTCTGCTGTGCGCTGGTGAGAGAGGGGGAGATCGGGATCGCTGCTGCGGCTGCACAGCCCATGCCAGGAACCTCTTGGTACACTGGCTGCATCACCGCGTCCCAGCCCAAGTGAGCTCATGAGGCTCAGCTGGACTCGGAGAGGTAACACAGACACGTAATGAACACAACTGTCACGGAAAGTCTAAGAGGGACACTTGTTCCACGGACCACGCAGACAATGAGGAACTGGCGTGCCACCCCCTCTCTCTCCCCCCAGCTGATGCCAAGGCAGGCGGCCGGCCGCCGGCAGATGAATAGCAGGTCTGTTCCAGCAGCTGCGCGTCCTGGTCCAGCGAAGAGAGAGTCTCTGGGAGCGTGGAGTGCCCCACTTCGTGCGCCGTCTGCAGAGGAAGAGACCTGGGGGCAAAAGGATGGCCTCGGAAGGGGAGAGCATCAATCTTCAAGTGAGTCTATCTCGGGGAAATACCCGTGGGAGGGAGAGGCAGGAGGGAAGATCCCCGGTTTGGGGGAAATATCCACTGCTTCTATCATTCGCTCCTCAGCTTTGGCAGCCAATTTCACTTGAAAACTCAGTGCTGCTTTTTTTCCTCTGTTCCCCTTTGACAAAAAGCTAGTGGCAGGAGCTCTGCCCTGTCCTGCCAGGAGCTGTTACGAGCCTTTTTCCGAAAGAGTGAGGGTAAGAAGAAGGGTATTACTAAAAAGAGCTGCTTGGGGGGGGAAGGAAGGGCAGCAGGGGCAGAAGTTAGCCTTCAGCTCTCAGAAGGAGGCAGCACATACTTTACAAGCTGCAAAAACTTGAGCCATTCCTCATCTCACAAAGCCTTGCTCTGTTTGGCAGAAAGTGCTCCCAATCTGGAGAGGAGGAAAAGAAATAAATACAGCAAATGCTGAGGGAGCACAGAGGCCAGGGTTTCCTATGTAGGGTTTATAGAGAAACAAAACTTCTTGGTGAAGCTCTCCCAGTTCTCTATGTTCCTTTTTTGAGTGTTTGTGTTTTTTAAAGAAGGGTGTTTCTTGTGCTCAGCGTGTGTGCTAGGAAAGGGCAACTACCCAAGGGTTTGGAAAAAGAAACTTTTAGAGATTAAATGGAATCAAAATCCCAGATCACAAACACCCATCAAACTTCAGAAGTTCAAGTCCAGATCCGCACTTCAGGCAACTCTGGAGAAGGGAAGAATATGAAGCATTGCCCAGGGCACAGCTTCCAGCCCTGAGTAGGTGAGCATCAGGGTCCAAATTTTGCAGCCAATTTTTCTGTCTTTAATGGTCTTTAACATCCTTAGATTTGAAAGTGGGGAAGTCTATCTGGGGTCTCAATTTTTATTTCTTTGGCCCATGTCAGAGAAACTAAAATGGAAAGATTTGTGCCCTTGGAAATGACGAGGACAATTATCCTTAACTAGAAAAAAGGACCGAGACTTCCTGATCGTGCAGAACATATCTCCACTGACATATGAGGTGCAGAGCAGATTTTTAAGACCTGGGAACAGTTATGCTCAGATAAGGGACAAGATGACTGAGGAAGATACACAAGTAGCTGACAGTTTGTGAAAATGTACTCTATTTAGGACTGAAGAAGAGAGAGGTTAGGCTTTCCTAGAACTAGGTAATAAGGGGAAAAATATAGAAATCAGTGAGCCAGAAACTGGGGGCAAAGGGCAAAGAGGACAAGAAAATTATGCTAAATAAAAAGTCAAATTAACTCCTTGTATATTAAATCATTCCACCCAATGGAAAGTTTCAGGTCTACTGTGTATTTGAAGCCCAGGTTTCATAGATGAAAAAAATCAGCTTCACCAATTAAAATACTCATCTACTTCTGAAAAATCTGGGGTTTAGATTTTTCTCTTTCAACCCATCTTGAGATTAAGCGAAGACCAAAAGTGATCCTCAGCATCTTCAGCCTTTACAATAATCAAATAAATAAGCCCAGAAGGTCAAAGGTTCCTTGAGTTACAAAATTGAAAAGAGCATACCTATCTGTTTCTAGAGCAGGAAGGTGTGGAGTGTTTCCATCCACCTCTACATAGGTTGCCACAAGAAAAATCATGCTACTGAGATTTTCTTTGCAACACCTTACAGGGATTTCATGAAGCCACCAGACAGTACAAAATATAGGTGAATGCACACAGATTCCTGTATGCTTATGACCAGGAAATATACAGTGCTAGCAGGGGAGAGAAAGAGCATTACATACGACCACATAGTATGACGGATGCACTTGACCTTTTAACCAAACTAGTGGTAGTTTGGTTCAGGCTCCAAAGGAGGTAAAGGCCTAAGCCGTAAATGGGCCAAGAACTCCTCTAGTTTCAGTCTGTTCTCTGAAAACCCACAAAGGAGCAGAGTGACACAGTGAGCATCGATGCATATGAGCTTGGAACATCGACCATGCGATTAACACATGAATAGCGGGTGGCTTTTCTGAGACTCATTTACTGAGGAACAAAGAAAGTTGTGGGTACAAGGAGTCTCATGCATACCTTTCCCATCGCATGGAATTTGACTACAAGCCAATTACTTTATTCCATAAATATGACAGGCTAAGTGAGCCTTCTTTGAGCTCTCCCAGCTAAGCAGCCTGGCTGCATGGCAGTGATCTCCCTTTGAGCTGGGACACCTCTCGAGGTTGCTCTTCAAAGCAGAGAGACCTTTTACCAACAGCAGATCTTTGGTAAGCGGCCGATATCGTGCATAACTTTGTAGTATGGTAACTTTGATTTGTGCCTTGGTAGTTTTGAACCATTGTTCAAATGATTGTGCTGTACAGTAATAGAGTGAACCTTGCCATCAAACTTTGTTAAGTTACACTTTTACAATATCATATTAAAACCACTTTCACTAATAGCTTTGATGGTGATTCTTTAAGCTATCTAAATCACCCATTCGCGACAAATCGGCATAGTCGGCAGGATCCTAAATCAGGATTTGTGGCGCAGAGCTGAGACAAGCAGAGGGTCCTGGCAATGGCGTGACTTGACAAGTGTGAGGTGAAGGGAGGAGCCATCAGTGGTGGAGAAAAGAAAAGAAGTCTTTCAGTTGAAAGTACATTTAAAAGCCTCTTTTGAGTTCCTGCTCTGAGCACTGAAGGCAGAGCAGGTGTCTTCTTGAAAGTTTCCAGCTGTGGGTTTATGAAGAGCTTGTGGGAATGTGCACTGCACACTCTGGAGTGGTAATGCATGACTCACTTCTCCTCAAAGAGCTCCTGGATGGAGTAGCAGAAACAGTCGTGGAAGTTAACTATAATACAATAGAGAAATAGGGATTTTTATTTATAGGGAGAGGGTCCTGTGTCTGAAGCAGTTGCACCTACTAGCATTTCTTCTACAACATTTACATGGTCAGGCTAGACAGGTAACAATAGAATGAAAACAATGTGAGCCTCTGGCCCAGCATAGGAGAGAGCTGGAAGAGGCAATCAAGATTTAAGAAGGCTCTAAGGAGAACTGCTCAGGCCCCAAATTTTTTGCTTATCCTAAATCATGAGAACAGGACGTCACTCAGTGAAATTGAAAGTCTCCATAACAAGAGACTCCCCCACCCAGCGTGTCATCAGCCTGTGGAATTTGCCATCTCCTGGAGCAGGTTAGAAGGTCAAATATAGGAGCAAGCACTGAGAAGAGGTCGGGAGGTCCAGTAACAATATTTACAGTTATGCAAGCTAAAAAAGGTACTTTCAAATCCCATAAGCCAATAGCAGGATAAAAATAAATACACTTTTCAGTTCCCTACAGGCAATGGCACAATTGCTGACTGCAAGCAGTATCCTGAATTAGAGAAGTTATACACCAACTGTCCATAAGTGAGACGAAGGACTGCTTTTTAACAACAAGAAGTATCTCCCATTAATCCACTTTCTCCCTCACAAAAATTTTCTTGTTCTGTGTGTTTCAAAAGAGTCTGTTTTCCAGTTCTGACTTCTAGGAAGACCAGCAAAACCTCAAACTGTGCACACAGAGATGCTAAAAGGAAATGGTACGGAAATGGAAAAAAAAGCCACAAGGCTGTAGAGCAGCCTCACCAGATCTGTGCCAGCTAGCCAAGTGCTAAGACAAAAGATAAAACTTGAATTAAAATCTTTTAATTAAAAAGATTAATTTACCTATTAAAAGATAAAACTTTAACATGAATTAATTTGAATGATGCATTTTGCTTCCCAGACGTCTCTATTTGGGGCTTGCAAGTGAAACTTTCACCTTCCCCTATTAAGCATCTACCATTGATGAGAAACAAGGCAGGCAGACCAGCAACCTGATGAGATATAACAGAGTACATCCTGAGACAACTGGGATCAGAAAAATACGTTTGGGATAGAAACAAATAAAACAACCCAACAAGATCCCATCACCAATTTCTTTTTACTTCAGGAAACAAAGATTTATAAATTAGAATAGGAAGTATGGCTTTGATAGTCACATTCTGGCTGATTTATCTGCATTTCTTTATGCTGTTATTCCCCCTGGCTCTTGCTTCCAACCCTTCCATACAGATTTGCAGGGGGCAGAGAGGAGGAGGGAGCCATACAGGACCGTTCTTTTCAGCAGCAAAAGACCCATTACATCTTTTAGCTGTGTACCTCAGCTGCTGCAGTTCACGATCTGGCATCTTAACACAACCCTGTTTCATCGGTGATTTAAGCTAATGTACCAGACTTTGAATGGGAGCAACTGAGACAACATCCGTTCCACCACTCCCACCACAGCGGCAGTAACCAGGGGAAAGTCTGTGGACAGCTGAAATCAGTAACACTCACACGTTATTGCCATGGCTAATTCTGTCAGGGCCCCAGACAAATATTGCAGAATGGAGCAAAGATTGGGGCTGGTTCTAAATGGCTCCAGAGTTTTATTAGGTTTGGATTTTTATATTTTCTTATTCATGAATGGCTGTTATGTTCTGTATAAATGGGTGTTTAAGGGATGTGCACCGGATGAATGTCATCCATATTCGTGTTGCAAGAAAAGCTATATATTATAAGTTGCATCTTTCTTTTTATAGTTTCTTAATCTTTGGTTTAAAAAATTTACAATCCCCTGGGACGAGTAGCAGAAATAATACCTCACCATTTAGGGAGTCATTCATACATCAAAAGTAAAAAAAGTAAACATAAAATAATCATTCTGGAAAATGGACCCTACACTGAAATTTTTTGGCAGAAGCTATTTATTTGGTGAATACTTTGAATGCAAAATACATCTGTGGAAATAAAGACAGGTTTACAAGCAACTTGCAAGGGAAAAAAATTTTAAATAATTGGATAATTTACTTCCAGTGCTCAGTTTTTGACCAGATCTACAGCGGGAAGATTTTAGACAGGCAGATAAATAGCATTAGCTATAGGCCTGACAGTGGGGACTTTTCCAAAATGCCCACAAAACATATGGAAAGTCCCACTTACCACTGTAAATCCCATCTCCCACATGACACTTTCAGTCTAGGCCTG